TCAATACCTTTTATGTCCATTTAAAAACACATTTTTGTGTGAATTTCGTTGGAAAACGTTGATAAACTGTACATTTACGACAGTTTCCAAGAACACTCAAGCTTTGGAAATAACACAATTTTGTTGGCCATTTTTACGATTCTTTATCTCTGATACCAAGAAACCCTTACCTTCTTTAACCGCAAATACCTCGACTTTCATTCAAGATAGATTGGTACTTTGTTGCATTTTGTTTTCTTCGTCTAATGCAAGTAAAACTATGAACAAGCTTTAAGAAAATACGAAAGACATCACAGTATCTCCAAAAAATTGGCAAGCCCTTTATTCCGTGGTGTCGCGACACGCATGATGAAAAGACATTATGTCGTATTTAAGCATGTTTGTCACTGAAAGCCAAACTTCCACATGAAGATCAATAAAGTATTATTTATATTTCATTTAGCTGAATTTTATTTTTATATTGCTGAATTTTAGGTATATATATATACACACATATATTTATATTTATTTATATTTCATTTAGCTGAATATAATTTTTATATTGCTGAATTTTATTTTATATATAAAATAAAACTCAGCAATATAAAAATAAAATTCAGCTAAATGAAATATATATATATATATATATATACAACATTCGTCTCACAAACTCCACGTCAGTATAGAAAGTGTTGACAAGAGCGCGGGGAAGAGTTGATAAAGGACGTAAAATACGTCGTAATAAGTATATCGTATTATGCATCGCATCGTTTCTACTTCGCGGAGTTTTTTCACCCAAACCGCAGGGGGTTCTTGAACGTTACACCTGCGTTATTGGAGGAAGTAATTATTAATTGTAACTGTCACACCCTGCAATGACATCATCGTGTTGGCCAACTCACGCTTACACAACACATAGCGAGAGTCTTTTTTTTTCTTTTTTTTTAGTAAATGTTTTACGGCGCTCGCAACAGTATTAGATCATATGAGAGTCTAAAGCAAAAATATCTTTTCTGCACTTATTGAGACTGAGATAATATTATTCATAGACTATCTAAATGCCATCGAATGATAGTAATACATCTTTTCCGCTTTTCGAATTTTGTCCAAATAGTAATAAATATTATTTTCTAAGATGTTCAAAAAGTAATACATTTTTCTTTTTTTTCGAACTTTGACCAAATATTAATACACCCTTTCTTATACACCCTTTCTTCTTTTCGAGGTTTGTACAAATAGTAGTAATTTTTTTTTCTAACTTTATTCAAATAGTAATAAATCCTTTTCTTCTGTTTCAAACTGTGTCAATCTTTTTTCTCTCCTCTAATTTTGTCGAATCTCCGTGTGTGGCCTGGAAGGTTATCAGCACACCTTTCTGGATTACTACATCAACACAAACCAAGCTGCATTTCGTTGCCCCAAAACAACTCTTTTTGGAGATAATATGACATTAACCTAGCATTATATATACCCACGATAACATGTTTTTCGTATCTTCTTCATTCTTTTGTGGAAATTCCCGTTCATGTTTTTGTTATTGCCCTCAGACGAGATCGTCTGCCAGCTGTTATGACATCCATTACGCCTGTTTGTTTCTCACATCGGATGAGGATCGACCAAACGGTTACTCAAGATATCTCCCACTCTCATTCATTGATGCCACCCCATAATTTTCTCCTCGCACTCATCAAAACACGCAGTTGATTCGCGCCTCTCAGGGTCACCGGAAAATATCCACTTTCCCCTCTTGTAGATCGAAATTCATTTCCTTATTCTGCCAACAATACCCACTCGTTGCTTTTCTTTCATCATTGCCTTTTTTTTCTTCTCTCTATTCACCTATTCATTAATTTCATTAAAATTAGTCATTCACGCTTTTGTTGTATGAGATACGGGATTTCAAAATATGAATGGAAGACTCGGCTACATTAAATCCAAGAAAATCCGGCACTCCCTGGGATTTCGGTTTATTGTCATTCTTATTCTTATTCACATTCTTATGCTTATAATTCCTATTATCATCATTATGATTTTATATATATTAT